TTCTGCCAAAAACTAAATGTGAAGTTAACAGCTTTCTTTCTTCAAAGCATCCTGCAGAAGCCTACAGTAGAACAAAGAAATGTAGGGTGTACTACTAATAGACTGTTAGTCAAAATGATGTTTAATCCCCTAAAGAATATGGCATGAATTAAAAAAAATGTAAACAAGAAAACCTCCAGGGTGAGAGGAACCACCTGGCAAATGGAGGAAAAATGTTCAGTTTGCCATCCACAGTTATTAATGTGGTTGTGCCATGGCTAGTGGCTTCTGGCAGTTGTGAGCCAGGAAAATAAAACAGCTTCACTGTGATGGCAAAAAAGTTTTTCATCTGGCAGGCAACAAATACAGTTCCATAAAAATGGTTTGTTGTCCAGGGTCCATGGATTGATAGCAGGGAATCTCTGTGAACTTGCATAGGAACAAAATTGCATTTTTAATTTTCGCTGACTTCTGGTTTTCTTTATAATTCGATGTATTTAGTTTTATGTATTTAAAAACATTATTCAGAGAAGAGTCCCATAGGCTTCACCCAAAAGCCAAAGGGTCCATGACACAACAAAGGTTAAGAATCTATTTTCCAGACCCTTTTTCTAACTGCATAGAAAACTAGGGGAGAGAGGCAGCGAGGTGGTGCAGTGGACAGAGCACCGGCCCTGGGAGTCAGGAGGATTTGAGTTCAAATCCGGCCTCAGACCAGACACTTGACACTTAACTAGCTGTGTGACCCTGGGCAAGTCACTTAACCCCAACTGCCTAAAAAAAAAAAAAAAGAAAAAAGAAAACTAGGAGAGCAGCAAAACCGGTCCCTTCCTACCTATAATTAGGAATTTCAGCACTTGAAGCCAATTTAGTTGGATTTTTTTGTGAAGGTTAAAGTAGTTTGAAGATAGAGGTCATGGGAATTGAGGAGGTTGAGGACCTGGAAGTCTAGGTTGTTTGAAGAGGGGGCAGGGATTGGAAGAGAGAAGGCTGTGAGCTAGTTATTCTACCTGTTGGGGAGGAGCAGTGCACAGATGATAAATAACAAGGATCTATTCAGTCAGGCAGTCAATAAATATTTGTTAAGGACCTACTATGGGCCAGGCACTGAGCTAAACACTGGGGACACAATGAAAGTCAGAAGACAAACTTTGCTCTTAAAGAGCTCACTTGCAAACAACTATGTACAGACAAGAAATAGATAGGCAAAATTGGCATTAACAGAAAGAAGGCACCAGAATTAAGGGGGATTGGGAAAGGCTTCTTTAAATTGAGATTTTATGATCCAACCATTTTGGAGACTAATTTGGAACTATACCCAAAGGGCTATAAAAATGTGCATACCCTTTGATCCAGCAATAGCACTTCTAGGGCTGTATCCCAAAGAGATCATAAAAATGGGAAAAGGACCCACATGTACAAAAATATTTATAGTAACTCTTTTTGTGGTGGCCAAGAATTGGAAATTGAGGGAACGCCCATCAATTGGGGAATGGTTGAACAAGTTGTGGCATATGAATGTAATGGAATACTATTGTGCTACAAGAAATGATGAGCAGGTAGACTTCAGAAAAACCTGGAAAGACTTCTATGGACTGATGCTGAGTAAAGTGAGCAGAACCAGGAGAATGCTGTACACAGCAACAGCCCTGATGTGAGATGACTAACGTTGATAAGTCTTAGCCCTTCTCAGCAATGCAAGGATCTAAGGTATCTCCAAAGGTCTCATGATAGAAAATGCTATCCACATCCAAAGAAAGAACTGTGGAGTTGGAATGCAGATCGAAGCATACTATTTGCTATTTTTTTCTTCTGTTTTGTTTTGATTCTTCTTTCTGGTGATTCCTCCTATTGGTTCTAATTCTTCCTTACAACATTATTAATGTGAAAATGTTTAATAAGAATGTATATGTATAGCCTATATCAGATTTCTCGAAGTCTTGGGGAGGGAGGTGGGAAGAGAGGGGGAGAAAAATGTAAAACTCAAAAGCTTATGGAAGTGATTGTTGACAAATCAAAATAAATAAATTAATAAAAAAAAACAGATTAAGGTTGAAAGGACCCTTGTCCATGGTAGTAGGAGGACTGGTCCTACTCTAGGCCAGTTCTTCACCTGAAGTAAATGAGACCTAGAAAGGTGAAGTGGTTTGCCTGAGGTCACATGATAACAAAATAACAGAACTTGAACTTGGAAGCCTTCTGAATCCAAACTCAGTACTTGCTCTGCTCTCTATTTCTTCTTTCTCTGCTATGCTGGCTTCTCATCCTCCTTCTATTTCTTAAAAATGCTTGTCCTCAGTGTTCTGTTCTTTAGCTTGTTCTCTGCTGGAATGCTCTGTTAGAATCAGAGCAGCTGATAAATGCTCAGCTTGCATTAATAATAATTTCATACTTCAAAGGCAGAGCAGGAGGCCAAGGGAACTGCTCTGCTGGACTTGGTTCTGCTCAATACGAAGAACAGGATTACCGAAATAGAAAGGACAGGAACCTCGTGAGAAAGTGACTATTTCAGATTGTTACAAATAAAAAAGGGAAAACTGGTCAGTTTGGTGCACACTCTAGATTTAGAGAAAAGATTTTAAAAGTTCAAAGAAAACGTAAGCAGCAACTCATGGCCCCAGATTCTAGAAGTGAAGTTGGCCCAATAAGTTTTGGATACTTTCAAGATGAACATTCTGACAACACAAATGATTCCAATGTGGAAGGGAAACTTTCCAAAGAGACTCATATGGATGAACCAGGGAACTCACTGACCAACTACACAGTTTTTTTTGTTTTATTTTTTAGTTTTCATACCTGACGCAGTTTTTATTTTCTAGAGTAAAAGGCATGATAAATAGACTAGCTGAGGAATGCTAAGAACCCAAATACTTCATGACTTATCCAAATTTGGTGTCTCTTAACTATTGTAACAACAAAAATATCAACAGTTGCTTCCTCCAGAGATTCTAATGTCAATTCCTTGACATTAGAAGTGTCCAAGCAGAAGCTAGAGGATCACTTGAAGGGGACATGGTAAAAGTGATTCATGTATCAGGTTGAACTAGATCAGTGATATCAAACTCAAATAGGAACGAGAGCCACTAAACTGAATGAGTCTCTGTGGGCCACATACTGACTTAGTTTTAAAGTGTAATATTATCTGTGTTTTATTATGTTTTTATTTATTTTGTTAAACATTCCCCAGTTACATTTTCATCTGGTTTGGGCTCATTCCAGAGTGTTCAAGTCTTATGTTTGACACCTCTGGACTAAATGATCTCTAAATCCATTTCAATTCTGATTTTGCAATATTCATGTCTGAGGATGTGTGCGCATTGGTACACCACTGGGAGATCCTACATAACAGTATGCTTCTAACCTTTCTCTTAATAGATTTTCTTTCTGACCATGATCTACAAATTGGTTGTGATTCTTTATATCTCTTAAGTGCAAAAAAAATTAGATGTAATGCTAATTTAACAGTCATTATCCTCCCTTTCCCCACTCTCTTTCTCATTTAAAAGTTCCCTATTGATTTGAAGTTCTGACTCTGTAGCTTAGCAAAGACCTGAATACAGATGTCTTTCAAATAAAGTGCAACTCTAAGTATGCTATTTGCTATTTTCTTGTTTCCCAAAGTAGATCAGTTTTTCTGAATCCTAGATAATTTGATGTCTGCCTGTATTCTTGTACACAAGCTGAAAAAATTGAGGCTTGGTTAAGCATATGTGGAAAGGCCAGCTGGACCCAGTGTTGCTTCATGGATTAAGCTTGTTATTATATATGAGTGTATAAAGATGATGGATCAGAAAACTGAGAAGCCAGTCTATACACTACAATTGGAGATTAGTGTTCATGTTAGACTGTCTTTAACTACATGATGGATAACAGTGTTCAAAATGTCCAAGAAGATGTTTTAATTCTATTAACTTTAACAAATTCACAGAAAAAAAAGCTGTGCAGGAATTTAGCAGTGGAACTCACAGTGACTTCAATAGAAGCCAAGCAGATCAAAAATTCAGGGTAATATCCAGTTATATGACACATAAATCATAGTAGCAATGCATTCAAAGCCTGTGCCACTCATTCTAGCTTGTTCTCTCAGTGTAGCTATTTCCAAGGGTAGGTTTTTCTAAACTCTTCAGCACTGTAGGACTACTTGGTGAGGTCAGTTAGCTCAGTGGGCTTGCCTATGTTGCTATTAACACTAATGTCAGGGGTCTGACATATGGACAGGCTAAAAAGCAGTACCACTCACCTATGCTTCATAGCCATGGGCCATGCCCATTCGCCCAAGACAGGTTAATTTTGCATCCTGCAGGGGAACCAGATAGTATGGATAACTAAAGTACAATTCCTCCTTACTAGGGGAAAATAAATACTCTGTCTTTATAAACAGTGCACTCATCTACATAGAAGGGCATACAGTAACTTTTTTTTGTATTAACAATAATGGGCAGGCAAAAATGGTACCTGAAGCACAGAACAACAAGAGTTAATTTTCAGTTGGGCTTCATTTTCTCAGATTTTCCCCCTTTTTGGAGGGTTGTGAGGAGGCTTTTATTTGTTTAGGATTGATTACTTTCACAGACAACTCAACTCTGTCTTTAGCTATCTTTCCTGTTTGGCAGAACAGGGGAAATCACCTGGATCATATTCTTGCCCAGACTGTGACATACAAGAAATGAAATCTCCACTGACCTTGTTGTTGTCCTCAGTGATATCCTGATTTTGACTCTTTAGGGGTGGGGTGTGTTGAGCTGTGAAACTGAAAACTGCCATATTTCAGTAAAACTTCCTTAAAGCTACAAGACCTGAAAAGAACACTTTTGACCTTCCCCTGAAACGAACCTGGGACGCAAACTCAGTTTGGGGTTGTTGGTTATGATGATCTTTTAAACTTTTGATGGTAGGCAGTCCATAAAGTTCCCATTCCCAATATACAAGCATACCTTAAGAATCACCCCTCATATCTGCAGCATCCTTGTTAGAGGGTGTTTCGCCAAAGTCTCTGTTAATGAGTCTTCTTTCCATTGCAGTGAAATGCACATTAGAGGATGAAGAGCAGCCTCCCACCATCACAGATGTCCCAGACAAGTGAATGGCATCTGCCTCTTGCATTCCTGAGTCTCAGACACAAAAGTTCTGTGCATGCTGGGCAAAATGAAGCATGTAGGTAGAGTCGATTATGTACAAACTTACTATCATTATTCTCTGGAGCTTTCCCCACAAACAGTCACTGGTCTAGATGTTTCCCTCCTGCAGTACAAAACTGCTTTGAAATGCAGTGTGACATTGGTACTCTAGCTGCCTATCCCCTAGTCCTAACAGATAATGCACCATTTTCTGGTTCTCTCTAAGCATTCAAATCCATTTCCCCACCTTTTGTGAACTTCTTAGTTGCAATTCCAAAGATTCATTTTCAAACTGAGATCCCAAACCTGGGAATTCTGGGTTTTCTTTACCTGAAGCTACAGTTTTTTGCAAATATTTGCTCATTTTGAATTCCTTTGCTACTGAAGTACTTAATTTCAAAGGAGAACAGTATTTTTTGGGTCATGACAATCCTTAACACTCACTAGAACCTACAGGAGTGCAAATGCAAGCAATGAAAAGAGGAGACCAGAGTGAGTTTTCACCTCAAACCTCTAAGTCAAAAATATGGTAGAGAGGTCTTTAGCTTCCTGCTGAAATTAATATCAAGTCCACATTCACTCTCCAATTTGCAGTCACTAAATCTAAAGTCCTGAGAATAGCCATAGGGCCTGATTATGAAGAAAAATGTTGTTAGGCCGTTTTAACAAGTTACAACAAACATTGTACGTAAATAGTAAAGCCTTTATTTTTTGTTAAGAACAGCATTTTGAAAATAAAACACATTTGCCCATGCTTTACAACCTTCTTAATTTGTATTCTTATATACAGTCATTTATGGTACACATTGATTGTCTTGAAAATTCTTTAAAGATATTCTTTTTAAGTATGCAACGGTCAGCAGCGGGGTAGGGAGGGAGGGGGAAAGTACATTATAAAATACACATTAATACATTTAATAAATATATATTATCTATCAAAAGTGAGCTTCTGTTCTTAATCAATTAATAAAAAGCACCTGCTGGGTAAGCTGGTATAATAATAGTCAAATCGTTTGATTATAAAAGCTACAATGTTCCCTTTTTGTACAGCTTTTGGTTAGGCCCGAGGCACCAAACTCAGCTGTCACCAACCAAGAAAAGACAACCTAGTTAATTCTGAGTGAAAAAGGCACCCTTTCAAAGACAATTAAGCAGTACCTTTTTCCAGAATCAAGGGGGTGCCCAGAGGCCCCTAGGGTGTGCACAGAACCCATAGCTTCATCCGATTTCTCTTAAACCATGGAATAGCCACATTTCAAATATTGCAACATTTCATCACAAAGTGTGAAAGTGCTGTAGGGTTTCAGAATTGCTGTTCCTGCCCTGCCTCCCCACCTCATCTACAGACAGATGAAAACTGGGATGAATCTAGTTTTATACCGAAAAGGGACATGGTGGCTTTTATGGCCCCAGAATGGCTTCTGATAACTCAATGCTGAGAGATTTGTAATTTGTGCTTACAACTGTGTGTTTTAATCAGCACTACTTGTTAAGTTAAAAGTAAACACGTCTTGTTTACACAAATAATAAATGGAGGTGCCATAATAAAGGAGATGCCTTGTCACACTTTGTTTTCTGGGGCAGTTGCTATCACAGACTACGGCCAGGCAAAGATCTTTCTATGAGTCATGTGAGGTTATTAGGCAAACAATGATCCTCTCTTTTCTGGGATTACCACTCATCTACCCCAAATTACAATTTATTCATTCCCATTTTTAAACCCTGCCAAAAACAGAACCTTAAAAACACATCTGATAACTGTCTGAAATAAAATTGTCCAAGGACTAGAAACACTTTCTTTTTATTGTAGTGAATGTTACTTTCCAGCAGTAGCATTTACAAAGAGAAACCACTCCTCCCATCTAGGCCATAGTCACCTTAGACATTTTGATAACAGCTTAGAGGAAAATTACATCATTAATGGTTTCTTTCTGAAAGTGAGACTTTTTTTGCAGGCAAATGTCAGTGATGGCATTCTACAACTCCAAATGACTTCATAGAGCTGGGATAAGTAACCATTTCCTGGCATAAGAATGTGTAACACTTGTTTTTAATTGGATTAGACTGAGGCATTAGGAGATTTCTTTATTTTTAGAATAATGGGTTCTGCATGCAACATCCCACCCCCACCCTTTTTCTAACATCCCCCCTCCCTCAAATACTTAAATTTCCAAACCATCTAATAATCACCTTCCCGAACACACGCTAAGGGCTAAAGTCAGGTGTCTGGTTGTTTAAAAGCAAGCGCATGCTCCCAGGGCTGATACTGGAGATGAGATATGATTGGGGCAGGCACTCTCATGCCATGCTTTCCTTTCACATGCATGGCAGAAAGGGAAACGAACTTGCAGACAGGGGAAAAAAAAACTTGCAAGATAAGATGATCAAGGCAAGAATGACAATATCGACCTCATTTCCCCCAGTGCTGTGCAGAGGGAGGAGGGCTTGTAGGGCACAGCCAAAAATCAGGTGTAGAAAGAATTAGAGGTTTTGTTATAATTATTCGGCATAGATATATAAATTTATAAAGTCAGTGACCATTTTTTCCCCAACCATTGACCTTTTCCATGTTCTTTGTGGCTTACCTTTTTTTTTTTTTAAAGGCTAGAAAATAGATTTCTTATATCTTGTTCTATATAGCAAAAGAGCCCATCATCATTTATATATCCAATACTGTCAGGTTAAAATCTTGCTTTAGGCATTTAAGAAAGCTGTAGATCATGTTGGCTAAACAATGAGGAGACTATGATGCTTTTAATGTTGGATATGCACTAAATAAATGTTAAATAACAGGATGATTTGCTCAAGACAGATGGAAACTATGGCAGAAGTAATGGATTTTAAAATCACCATTTTCAGAGAACTTGAAGTTAACTAAGATAAAAACATCTAACAAACTTCTCTTTTCTATTCCAAAGCCCAAAAAACAAACAAAAAAATCCACAAACAAAAATGTTCCTTGTCTTGGAGGTCCTACTACCTTGATAAAAGGAACAGAGAAGTTTCTTGCATTACTAAGCAGTAGGACCCTTGATACACCATTTTATGGGACTCTGGGAAAGCCATATCACATAGGTCTGTGGCAAACCTGATAAGGCTCATCCCCCTTTGGCTTTCTGAGCTGGTGGCCCCATTGGCACATCTGGATATAAAATATAGATAAATCAGAAAGATGCTTATGCCACCAGGTTCTCAGTCGGCTTCTGGGGATGTGGAATGGGAGGAGAGAAGCTTGATAACACTGAGAACTTTAGTCTGGTGCCACATGACACAGGTCATGTCTACCTCTGGCCCCATTTTGGAGCCTGTCTGTTCTCTTAATCGGAATATCACAGGTATGGGGCATGAACAACAAACACCAGTCTAATACCATGTTAAACCAACAACCAGATACCATTCACTTCTTCAGAATGGGAGGAGGAGCCTTCACTAATAGTGTTTCTTGCATTTTCACAGGTAATGCAGTGCTTCTCTCAACGTTAACCAGGGCCCCCACCTTCAATAAAAGGCCCCATAATCTAAGTACATCTGCAGATACACACTCACAAAACTGATAAACAAATTACTCTCTCTGACTCCTGACAACAAACACATAAACCAACTAGCAAAAAAGTGAGAAAACTCCTCTGAATGCTTTAGCAATAAAATGCCAACCTCATGAGGGAGGCAGCCTGGATCAACACTTGCCATTGGGAGAGGCCCTACAAGGAAACCTGCACTGAAAGCAAATCAGGTCTGCTTAGCAGTCACTGTGACTTTGGTTCTTCTACACTTGGAGGATGCAGTCTCCCCAGTTGCATTTTAAGAGTGAGCCTAATTCTACAGGAAATTAGCTTTGCTTTAGTTTGCAAAATCGTTGGTTGGTTTGGTATTTTGTGAGTGGTTAGCTTATCAGTTCACCAGTGTTCACATTTACATGAAATCCCATTATCTGGGATTCTGAAAGCTCCAGGATGAGCGGTGACTTTGTTCCGCCATTGTTATTGATTTCTCCCCCAGAAAGACTCAGCCAGGGAATAAAATCTGTAATAGAGATTCTTATTCTCTGGAACTTTGTAAAAGCCTTTCACCAAAGGTGTCTTCCAGTGTAACTTGGCGGAGCGGTTGGGATCTGGAAATAAGGATAACAAATCCATAACTATGAACTTGATGCTTTTCTAAAGTCAATGTCCACTTATGCACTGTTAGAAATTAAGTCATTAGGAGAATGACATGATTCAGTAAGCAGTTGTTTTCAAATTGGCCAGACAAAGCAGAGCTCACGAAATAAGCGTAAGCACAAGTGGAAATGGCTTATTGTCTTATTCAGTGAAGCTTCTTCAACCAAAAAACTTTATCCTTTAAAAAGCATTTCCTTACCACCCCACCAAGAAAATGGCCTAAATGACTCTTTAATTCTATATCCACAAACCCCTTCCCCTTATTTTGAGCTACTGCTCTGTGGCATGTTTATCCAGGCTGGATAGGAACAGGTGGGTTTAAACAGTCATTGACCAACCAAGGTATCCTAGGCCTGATTCCAAATCATATTTACTGATGACATGGAGACCAAACACTCATGACATAGTTTAGTTTGGCACAGGGCCATAACCTTGGCCCTGTGCATACTCTGAGGAAGAGGCTTACACCTCATAAAAGCTCATCTGTGATCCTGTTTATTTCTGATCTCCTGCCCAACTAATCTGTGACATTCCACTCAAAAGCAAAAGAAGAGTAAACATCTAAATCTAAGGACCTGTGCTCAGTTAACTCGTATCATTGGCTTATGTTATTGGTGACCCATTGTGATCAGGCTGAGTTATGGAATCAGCATATGATATAAAGAATGGAAATGTACTTGACGTGTAAACAGGCTAATGAATGGTTTGTTTTTTTTAAAGAAGCATATAGCTATGTTTGGAAATTAAATGTGGAGATGAGAGTTCCTCTCTGGATTGCTAAAAAAAAAGAATGCCATTGCAGAAAAGGAAAATGGCTACGACCATTCTCTTGAAAGATTGTTTGGCATCGGCTAGCTAACCCATTCTTGCCATGAGAACAGAGCAAGGCTTTAACATACTGACAGGCTAAACCATGTCTGAGGGGAGGAAATGGTGACCTCCATGTGAGCAAGCTCTCCAAGTCTTCAGGGATCTCTCTCCAGGGAGTTCCCTGTGCTGACCCTAAGGCACACAGGTTGACAGAGAGGAAGGGGGAAATCTGAGCTAGGCTGAACATCAACAAAATCTGGAAGAAATTATAATTTTAAATTGGCTGGCCTTTCTCAAAAGGTGAATCAGCAGACATGGCTGAGGGTAAAGGAAAAATTCTGGGGTGGGGGTAGGGGGGTTACCTACAGGCTCACTTATACTGTCAGAGACCACTGGTGATCTGGAATAGTCTCGAGAATAGGATTCTCAAACTAAACTACAAACTGACTAAATTCAGGTGGATTTTATTTTAACTATATGGGGTGGAGGGAGAGAGAAAAAATGTAAGCATTGCATGCATACTAGCTACAAGTGATGTCATTTTTGGCTTTTGTCTTTTTAAAAAGAGCAAGCAGTTTAAACGGTGCCATTTATCCCCCATGAAGCTGTTCCCCAGGACTGTACATATGTAAGCTTCCTGCCATAGAATCACATTTTGATACTTACAGTCCCACCATTTAGCACAACTGCCATCTCAGTGGGCTGATAAACATTGCTTCTAAATGGAGCACTGGGTCGGTTTGCCAGACTACCATTTCGAAATCCTGCAGTTCGTAGAGCTGAGGGAGAGAGAAAAAAAAGGGAGATACAATTTTTTTTGGTGGTTGTTTTCTTCCTGATGCATCAACACCCTGCTCCTGCCCCCACACTGTGCCCTCCCCTCATCACATGCCAGGCTAAAAACAAAAATCACAAAGGAGCTTTGTTCCCAGCCTCCCTTTGTAGTTAATCAGGCATTTGTGGGGTTTGGAAAGTTTGTCCCTAAGTTAGTAAACTGCCTGGCATTTGTGGGAGAGAAGCTTGAATTCCCAGTCCTTGTTACTTGCTGACAACTCTACTCAATTCTGGTTCTGCCCTGCCAAGATTATAGTATGTATCTTCCCTAATACTGTTGATAAAAGATATTATGTCTTTTAGTGCCTACTATGTGCCAACCACTATCCTAGAAGCTGAGGATGCAAAGACAAAAGGGCCCTAATGTCTCTCTGCGTTGAAGGAATTTACAGCCTCCTGATGGAGCTAACACTCTGGAGCTGTTGCCACCGTCCTGGTGCAGTTGACAGAATGCTGGGCTTGGAGTCAAAGGGCAGGCCTGCACAACCTGGGGCCCATGCAGGCCTGATCTAGGGTCAATGTGAAACCTAAGTTCTTTGAAAGGACTAACTTTGGTGTGACCTCTGTATCCTCAGAACCTAGCACACTGCCTTGCACACAATAGGCACTAAATAAATACCTGTTGGATTGGACTGGATTTAAATCCCACCTGATACTATCTATATGACCATGGGCCAAGTCACCAAACCTTTGTCTCAGTTTCTTCATCTGTAAAATGCAGAAATGTCTTCCATTCTCAGTAATTGTTTTGCTAAGGAAATCCTACCCTATAGCCAGAGAGCCTAGGAACAAGCTCAGGGTCACCATGAACTACATGCAGCTACAAGCACCCAAATCATCCCTAGAAGCAACCTGAACTGCAGAGATAGCAGACTTAGGTTTGGGTCAAGGAGCTGAGGAAATAGAGACCCAGTCCAAGAAATACTTGATGAAACACTTTTCCTAAGCATTCGCTGAGAACTTAATTATGTAGCCAACAATTATACCTTTGTACATAGGGAACGAGAGCCGAAGGTTATCACTCAAGCCAGAGGAATATTCAGAAGTAGTTTGCCATTTCCCACAGAAATCTTCTTATTCTTATGTATGTCATCTGTCATAACCCAGGTCTCACACTTAAGTGTGAGAGAAGGCCAAATGGTAAGCTCTTACTTTGCTTCCTAAAGCAGGGAATTGGGGCAACTGATTATTTGGGGAACATGAACCTAAGAATTACTTCCACTTATCTACTAAGTGTCTGAGGCCAGATTTGAACTCAGGTCCTAAGTCCGAGGCCAGTGCTCTATCCACTAGATAGTGGCACTAGACAGTGCCACCTAGCTCTGCCCCTACTGCCACTTATCTTAATCAGAAAGGTATTCTCTGTTTGGCTGTAGGGAAAACCAGGCATTTTGGTTGGTTGTTTACTTGACTGAATGATTGGAGAAGTGTGTCTGTAGCTCCAGAGGCAGCCTGGCTACCAGGAAGACCTGGTCAAGTCACTGAACCTCTCAACATTGGTGGGAGAAATGTCCTCAATTGAAAACTTCCTACACTTGGGAAGCAGGGCTGGATGTTCCCTATACAGATAAATCACAGTCGTTCCTATCCCAGTTTCCAGAGGGCCCAATGGTTTTCATTTACAACAGGCCCGCACAACTTGCAGCCCTCTACATTTTTTGTGGGCTGAATTGAAACTGTTCCCAGTGCCTTGGTGTACCTGCTGCTGTCCAGGTGGCTCTAAAATGCCAACCCTTCCAGAACTGGTTCACCACAGGAACCAGAGTGCTGAAGCCCAGCTGGATCAAGTAAACCCTCTATTGCTTTTGCCTAAAACAATAACAGAGTGAGGCCTTTTCTCCAGACACATCCAAAAAGCAAGGCCCAGAGTTTGTTTCTAACTTGCTGAGTAGCCAAAGTTCCAAGAAATGAGTTAGCCAAGGGATTAAGTGGCAGAGATGAGCCAAACTCTTGATTTCCTCTACAGTGAGATATGAATAATGGTATTGCAGAAGTGGGAGGTCATTATGTCCAAACCTCTCATTACAGTAAGAAAAGTGAGGCCCACAGAAGTAAGATGAGATACCGAGAGATACTCAGAGATACTGGGTGGCCCACAAAACCCCCAAGTGCAGCCTGGACCAGATTAAAATGTAATTGGGAAATATTTAACAAAAGAAATAAAAATACAACATAGATAATGTGAATTTGTGGTTTTCTAAGTCAGTGTGGCCTAAGTTCAGTGAGATCTTCATGCTCTAATCCCCAAACCTCACTAGCTTCTGATCAATTGACATTCATGAAACTAAATATATAATTATTGTATTTGAAGCTCACACCAACTGCCCTCTGAAGTGGACGTTAAAAATATCCCCATTTTATAAGTGAGGACATTGAGGTCTAGAGCAGTGAACTGGCTTGCCCATAGTTACATAGCTAGTAAGTTATCAGGAGAGATTTTTTTTCATCTTTTCATAAAGTTTTAATATTTGGAAAGCGCTTCATATACATTATCTTAGGGATTTTTAACCCAGGACTTCTTCACTCCAAGCCCAATACTCTTTCCACTATGACCCCTAAAAAAACGTACTTTCTTGAAAAAGCACTTCGTCTCATTCCTCTGAAAGGTTAATGTTTAACACGTCTCTAAGGCTTTTGAAGTTGTGATTCAAGGTGCTAGATTTTTCAATGCATTTTAATTTCTTATCACTTCTGTCATACTGGCAGTGATATTAATAAACAGAAGGCTGAACAAAATACTCTCAGAGAAAAAGGAAGGAGACAGAGGCTACTGGAATCAGCTTCATCACCAAACGGCTATAATTTACTCAGAAATATACTCTTTGCCCCGAGAACCTCTCCACCACAACACTGAAGTGTCAAATGGGGAAGGTGATGAGGGAGGGCAAGTGGTCCTCTATCAATCGTATCATGTTAGTGAAACAAGAAGATTGAAACTGGAGATGACCAGATTCAATCAAACAGACTTTGCATGATTCTCTTAAGTCAGAGTTCATTGGCCTGAGATGAGGGCCACAGTGGTATGAAGGAGCCCAAGTGGAGAGGACTTGGGCCCTGGCTCCCTGAAATTCAAGACCCCTGGGGCCTATGCCAAGAATTCCAACAGCTGGTCTCAATTGTGGCTAGGGGACAAGTGCAGGAGGGCCCGGGCCATAGTAAGATAAGATTTCTGTTTTAAGGATTTATGCCTGCGGAGAGAGTGCTCTGCTAGAGTACAGGACACAACTTTGGGCAAACTTTTGAGGTTCCCCCCACTTCAGGAAGTCAACTCTGCACATAGCCAATTGGCAGTCATTTGCACTAATAAAGATACAAGGTGATTCTTAACATAGGATAAATGAAAAATCTAATCCCTTGTGGCTCTTGAATACAGCCAGGGGAAAGGGAGGACACATACCAAGACATCTACTCCCTATTTTCATCCAGTCCAGGGGTCTCACCCTGGTCTGATCTGTCTTCACTGGCTTGGCCCCTGAAGACTATGGATATGGAGAAGGGGCTACCCATGTAAATCTGAATCATAGGCTTATGGAATGGCAGTCTGAGATTACACTTTAGACATCATGTGAATTTTTTACAGTGGAACACTAGGGCTCAGATATGTCATGATTGCTCAAGGAGACACAATGAGGAAGTCAGTAGCAGGACTGGGTCTCCCATGGCCCTAAGAGAACTAAGGCACTGAGTCTGACATATCAGACATATACAGAAAGGGCAGGATGAGCAATGCAGAATTGGGCCTGGCACTGTGGAGATCTATCAATTAGCTCTCAGAGTATATGAGAGAGAGTAAAGCCATTGTCTAAAAATAAATAAATAAAGCAAAGCGAGGGTCCCTACCACTGTCTCAATCACAAGATGGGGATCTTTAGTTCTTCCTATTCTGCCTGAACTAATAATACACCAATGCAATTATAACCTCTAGTCTTTGAGAGATACAGTGAGAGATTGGTTCAGTGATTTTCAAAAGAGTCACACAACTACAATGTGTCAGAAACAGGACTCAAACTCACGTATTCGACTCCTAAGCCAACACTCTATCCATCATGCAAGCTTCCTCTTACAATGGCAGTAGCAGCTAATGTTTAGGAAATGCTTTTAGGTTTGCAAAGCAAGCACTTTATACACATTATTTCATTTGACTTTCTCAACAGATCTGAGAAATAGGAGCTGGCCATTTATTACCTCCATCTGCTAGTGAAAAAGGTGGGATTCAGGTAGGTTAGATGATTTTCACAAGGTCCCCAAAACTAATTTCTGGGGCAGGATTTAACCCAGTTCTTCCTGATTGCAAATTTAGTGCAAGAGGTGGCTCTGTCCACTATGCCACACTGAGCTCAGGGATGCCAGAGAATACATTCTCATTCTGAAATGCATCTAAAGATTTACTGGGTTGGGGAGGAATGATGGGGAGAAACCTGCTTTCTCCTACAAACCTATTCCCATAGTTGGATGTACAACTGGTTACACAGTTCCCCCAGTGCTCACCAAGCAAACCCAGCAATGTGGGCTCTGCCACTGGGAAGAACAAATGATCATTTTGATGGGCTGACTCAGCATAGCCTTCTGCAACTTGTAGGACAGAACATATCTGTGAGTATTCTCCTTCCTACTGAGATTCCCAGTAAGTAATTCCAATTAACATACATTGAATATCAAGTAAGGATTTAAGGTCTCACTGGCTGCTGACTTCTGTTCTACTTTTATTTAACTAAAGGACTTGAAACCACTTCAAACTGCTTAATAGGTCCAGCAAGGGGGGGTATATGGGAAACAGTGCCTTCAACTTCATTGTCCAGTTGACAGACGCCTATAGAAGCCATAGACAAAGCTTGGTTCAAATTACCTGCATTGTGTTCATCCATTGAAAAAGCTTTGTTTTCCATGTAGCTCCGGGGAAGTTGAACGTCCTCTTCAAATGCTGTCTCCCGCATCCTAGGCTGTGATGTGTCAAAGTAGTTGGGTGTATTCTCTTGCTGCGATGGAAGGATTGAGCAGTGTACTTCAGGAATAGCATGGAAGATGACAAACACCCACCCACTGGACACCAGAGCAATGGCCAGGGTGGGATCACTCCACACGTCACCTTTCCTTAGTTCTGCATTGCCAAAAAGGTACATGGTCATCCAGGCCACCCAGATCAGAATGGAGAGGAAGGCGGTAAGGATGAGGCACACTCCATTCTTCTTCCACTTCTTAAATTTCCCACAGAGAGTGAAGAGGGACAAACCCAGGGTCGCCACCAGCAGAACCATGTCATAAATTAAGGCCAATGCAAAATCCATGGGTTCATAGCTGCAGGCTAGCTTTTTATCCCGGACCACATTCAAGACTAGCCACTCTGTGGCAATGATGACCTGGACCAGCATCAGGCATATGGCCATACCAGTGAGATGCCAGCCTGAGGGGCTTTTCCCATGGCGCACCAGCCTCCGGACTCGCCATGCCTGGCTGAGCAAGCATGAGAAGCACAGGGCAAAAAGCACCCCCCACAGGAACCTACGCGCTGAGCATATGGTCTCATCCTCTCGGATAATGAATGCAAAAGTCAGTCCAAACAACCCTAGGGTTCCCAGAAGGAAGAGAAAGTTCAGGCCCAGGGGCCCCTTCTTCTCTTTGTCCTTGATGAATGGCAATCTCACCAGGAGGATCAGAATCAACAGCAGTGTGATGAGGGCCCCTGCCCCTGCCACTGCCTCCACCACGATCCCCCAAATGGCATCCAGGTCGCACAGGGACACGTACTGAGGGAGGAGGTCAAGCCCACAGCCTCGAGAAGTGCTGGCATTCTCTGAGGAGCCATAGCCGATCACAAAGAAGAGGAGAAATGAGAGGACCAGGTGGGTTCTCATTTTTCTCTCTGAAATGGCATAAATTTTTTTAAAAGAAAGAAAAAAAAATCAATTAAAGACTCCATCCTATAAATAAACAAGCTATTTAAGAAATAGTGCAACTTTGAACTATTTTAAAGGGAGCGAGGTCCCCTACTTATTTCAAACCTTCCTTGCTCTTTCAGGAAGGCCCAACCCACAAGGAGCCCATTAGCTTTGCTAGACCTCAAAGCTTATTTTATTAAACATCATTTCCAATTGTTCATCACAGAAAGCCTATTCAATCTGTGATCTATCTGTCTGTGTCTGCAGTGGCATTGAGCTACCTACAACAGCTGCTCCAGTCCTTGCCTGCCCTCCAGCCACCCAGTTAGCTTCAGTCCCAGGAGCTTCCATAAGTAAATGCAGTATTGACCACTTTCTTTGTCTCTGAAGTCGCCCTGAGCCACCTCACAACCAATGAGCCTCAAATCCTAGTCACCTCAGAGGGGCCATAAGGGTCGATGAATTATTTATATTGTATAGATAATAAAAGATGCATTGAGCTATAGGTTGGTTTCCACCCCTCCCCCCAAACCCCAGTGGAACTGGAAAGAAGACTACAGTGTGGGCATGATGATAACAGCTGATAAACAGCTAAGCTCTATCTATTGGATTAAAAACCACTGCAGAAAACAGGGAACCATAAAGAGGGGACTGAAAGACACTATAGCATAGGGGTTACAGGGTTGGCTTTGGGAACCAAGAAGACCGGGGTTTAAGACCAAGTCAGACACATACTGAACTAGCTGTGTGACCCTGAGCAATTTACTTAACTTCTCAGTGTCCCTGGACATCCCATTAAGACCCTACTTTGCACTGGTGTAAGGAGTTTCCACCCCCAATGATGAAATCACAGATTTAGAACCAAACCAGCTCTGGGAGCTGCCCTAGCCTTACCCCAAACACATACTAACTTGAGTTTCCCCTGTGTGAGTATATCATGTGTGGGATTCACAGGATGTTAGAGGTTAGATAAAAGATCTTAAGGGTTAACCCTGAAAGGGACAGTTCAATGGAAAGAGTGGTGGCTCTAGAGTCAAGGGGCCTGGATTCAAATCCTACCTCATTGATGCTTACCAGCCATTTGACCTTGTTGTTCAGTTTTTTTTCAGTTCAGTCCAATTCTTTGTGACCCCATTTGGGGTTTTCTTAGCAAAGATACTGGAGTGGTTTGCTATTTCCTTCTCCAGCTCACTTTACAGATAAGGAAACTGAGGCAAACTGGGTTAGATGGCTTGCACAGGCTCACTCGGCTAGTTAAGTGTCTGAGGCAGCATTTGAACTCAGGAAGATGAGTCTTCTTGACTCCAGGCCCAGAACTCTATCCACTGCACCACCTAACTGCCTAATTTGACAGTGAATAAGTATTTATTATTCCTTGGCCTGGGTTTCCTCATGTGTAAAATGAGGGACTTGGGCTAGATCAGGAGTGAGGAACCTTCAGCCTCAACGCCACATGTGGCCCTCCAGGTCTCAAGTGTAGCCTTTTGACTGAATCCAAACTTCACAGAACAAATCCCCTTAATAAAAGGATTTGTTCAGTAAAACTTGGACTCGGTCAGAAGGCCTAGACCCAAGGACCAAAGGCCACACATGGTTTCAAGGCTAAAGGTTCCCCAACCCTTGACTAAATGGTTCTGGGGTTCTTCTAGTTCTAGGTCTATGCTTTCATTATCTTTTCCCAAGTTTTCCACTATCTCTGGTGAAAGGGGGGCCCCTGATTGAGGAGACTCCATGAGAATTTTCAATTAGTTCTTCTCAGCAGCTGAAGAGGTGACTGGGGCAGACTCCACATTTAATAATTCTCATCACTTTCACAGCAGAGTGCCACGCATGTCGTAAATGACTTACCAACTCTCCTATAGAATTTAATTTCTAAACAGAAAGTGGTCAGGGGCTTTGGGGGGATATCTCACTGAAGATAGAGCCAAAACTAGCAGCTAGGGAAAGCTACTGTGCAGGGCAGGGGTGGAGGGCAGAGAGGAAGTCAAGTGTATTAGGCCTTGGAATGAAAGCTTTTCTAGGTGGAAAGACGGAACCCCCACCCCCACCCCCACTAGGTATGTACCAGGCAGCTGGGTTCAGTGACTTGCCCATTGTTATATAGTAAAAGTCAGAAATGGTATATGAGCACAGGTCTTTCCTGTTGTAGAGGTAGCTAGGTGGCACTGCAGATAGAGCACTAGGCCTGGAGTCTGAAAGACCTGAGTTCAAATCCTGCCAAGACACTTACTAGCTGTTGATCTTGGACAAGTCACTTAACTTGTTTGCCTCAGTTTCTTCATCTGTGAAATGGGGATAATAATTGTAAAGCACTTAACACAGTGCCCGGCACATAGTAGGTGTTATATACCTGTTAGCCATTATTATTACTATCATTCAAGGACACTGCTAATTAGGAAAGGGATTTATTTGGGATAAAGCTGGCAAACACCCCACCTAGTGGCTTTCTAGTTTGACTATTCTTGTTATTGTAGGTACTGAGCTCAGCTGTAAAGGTACCAGTGGGGTAAAGCCCTGGTTGCCCTGCCTCTGTTATGGGTTCTGCCTAATGGCACTAATCTCAATTGGGTCACATCTGAGGATGTCAGGGTAACTAGAGCAGACCCACCACTACCTTACTGTGTGACCGTGAATGAGGTCACTTTTCCAATCGAGGCCTTCCTTTCCCGTGTAAAAAATATTAGATGATCTCTAAGGTCCCTTGTTGCCCAAATCTGTAGAAGGACTACAACTGCATGCAATAAACACTCACTCTTAGTTGAATTTTTCAAGGTCAATAATCCTTTTGCTCCCATTTAAAGTGTTGTCTTTATTCTTCTTTCTCTGCTTGTACTCATCTACCATCAGTAACCTTAAATCCCTCCACTGGCTGCAGTGTTTGTTATCATTCAGTGGTGTCTGACTGTTGGTGACCCCATTTTTAGGGTTTTCTTGGCAAAGATACTGGAGTGGTTTGCCAGTTCTTTCTCCAGCTCATTTTACTGATGAGGAAACTGAGGCAAACAGGGCTAAGTGACTTGCCCAGAGTCATACAGTTAGTAAGTGTCTGAGACCAGATTTGAACTCCCGGAAGAAGGCTTCCTGATTCCAAGCCTAGTGCTCTATCCACTGTACCATCTAGCTGTGCCCAGCTATAGTGTAAAGTCAAAAGAAGACGTAGAAGGCCTGGGGAAGGCAAAAGGACCAAGGAGGATTCACCAGATTTACAAACCTGGCTCTTGTTCAGAGAATTCCAATTCAAGCCAAAAACCAAGTGGAAGCCTGAAAGCTTTGAAAGCCAAATCCCATTACACAGGAACCCTCCCTTCTGACGAAACTAATCCTGTAGCCCTGCTGAAGGAGCCACTCTGGGGAAGTGGAAGCAATACCTGATCTAGAACAAAAAGATCTGAGTTCTAATCCCAATTCTGCCACTTCCTACTCTATGATCTTGGACAAATCACTTCTGGATTCTAAGTGGTCTAGAATAGCTGAAATTCCCTTGCAGCTGCTTCCATCTGTATGACTCATGGATATAAAGCTTCTGCTCCAGTCACAACAAATTCTGATCCATTATACAATTATATAAAACAAATGCTTTCTCTGGGGCTGATTCCTCTGACAGTCATTTTCTATAATGAGCCAACCTGAGGGTTTGCTGTTTGTAATATGAAAAGAGATTAGAGAAGGTGCAGCTCAGTTATTTACATTTATTTTGTCCAGCTCTCAAGCACTAGCCACCTTTCAGTTCTCCTTCCTTACTGTAAATATTCTACCTATCAAACAACTCATTCAAAATCACCCCCCCCCCAGATAGACACACACACACACACACACACACACACACACACAGATTGGAGAAAAGCAACAGAGGTAAAGGCTAGCCATGCTCGACATTATTACTCTACCTTTACTGGGTTTTCTTTATATTTGAACAAGGTAGGGTAGTAACTCTTTGTTTCTAGATCCAACTAAAGGGAATTTCATTTCAAACAATGGATTCATTTGGACAAAATTCCATTACAGCAAATCAATTCAGATATGCAGATATGCCTCTGGGATGTAATGGAGTTATTCTACCCCTTATATAGGTGTCTCAAAAGTCTTCATGGGGTTTTTCAAACTGTTAAAGATTAACAAGATCATTAAAAAGCAAAAGATTTACTTAAAAGCAAGGACTTAAAACAGCAAAATAGACTAATGTAAACAGGCAGCTCAAGCTTTTCAGGAAAGTTGGAAAGATGAGTTAAGTGGATGGTGTATACAGACTATGGACTGGCTTACTACAAAGTGAGAAGCAGGGAAGGGCAGTGGAAAGAGCTCTAGATTTGGAAGTCAGAGGAACTTGCCTGTATGACTGTGAGGAAGGCACTTTACCTCTGGGCCTCAGTGTTCTCATTTAGAAAGTGAGGGGTGTTGAACTAGATGATCTCTTAGACCTTCCAGCCCTAAATCTCTCATCTTATGCTTTCAACTTAATTCTAGTTCCTCCCCTCTGTTAGGTATTTCCTGTTTTTCATATATATACATATCGATTGTTTGTTTTTGTTTGCTTGTTGCCTCTCCTATTAAATTGTGAGATCATTGAGGACAAGGATGGTTTTTTGCTCTTTTTGTATCCCCAGCACTTGGCACAGTACTTAGCACAGGCACTTAGTAAATGTTTATTGACTGACTGAGCTGTTGGGAGAGAGCCTCTGGAAATACCAAATCTAACATTTTAGCCGCCTTCCCAGATGGACCAGAGTGATCTAGCCATAGCATTTGTTTCAGTTGCATCCAAAAGGAGGAGGCACCTTGGGAATCTCTTTTTTCTAGCAGCTGTTTAATAGTCATCTGGGGAAGAGGACACTCCGCCTGCTGGGAATTTTAGAGAGAATTGGGACAAACAGGGAATTAAGTTATGGTCAGTGCTCAGTATGGCACACGCTTCTCAAGGGGTAAATAATAACTCACATTTATATAGTTCTTTTAAGGTTGACAAAGTCCTTCACACACAACATCTTGACTGATCAACAATTCTGTTATCATAGGGGATAATAGTACCTACTTCCCAAGGTTTTAAAGGATTACATGAGATAACTCTAAAGCACTTAGCATAGTGCCTGGCCCAGAGTAAGTGCCATATAAATGAACATTTACTAGTGGTGTGAGTCTGTGCAAGCCACTTAAACCTGTTTCCTTATCTGTAAAATGAGCTGGAGAAGGAAATGACATACCATTCTAGTATCTTTACCAAGAAAACCCCAAATGGGGTCACAAAGAGTAGGACATGACTGAAAATGGCTGAACAACAACTCTTATTATAGTCACCATTTTTCAGATGCAGGAACTGAGGCTCAGAGTGATAAAAATCACACAGTGGGTAAGCCCCTAAGGTAGAATTTCCTTCTAAGTTTTCCAGACTCCAGATCCAGCCCTCATGCTTCCTCTCTGCTGGAGCTGATCACATCTTTCATCACTTCTTACTTCAATTCTGTTGCCTGCTGTATGGGCAGCATCAGCCATGACCTTGGTCTGCCACAGGCACCTATGCAACCTCACCATGGCTCCAAGGTGATAACATGATGGGAAGTGACCCAGGATCAAATACTAGGGGTTTACACAGTATATTCCAACCGTGGCCTATTTCTTATCAGCAAACATTCCACTGACCCAGTGCTTGCTTTCTCACAACTAAGTATAGGCTGGTTTTAGGGAAGGATAAATCAGTCACCTTCCCCTTCTCTGCGTCCCCTCTGTGGAATTGTGGGTACAACCAGTTACCACCAGATTCGGTCGTTTCCTGAAGTTTCTGTCTGTTCCACATGCATGGCATAACTAGGTTCACTCCCAACAGTGACCCATCCTCCTTATAAGAATAACAGTATCACCTTCACAGTGGGCAGAGATCTGGCCTCAGATGTGGGTTCAAATGCTACCTCTGATAGGGACTGACAATGTCCCCCCAGGAAAAATCTCTACCTCTCAGAGTCCCAGGCAATATGTCTGTAAATTGCAGAGCAGATGTAATCTGCCATGGCAGAGGCCTTGGAAGAGGGAGTGTGCAGTTTGCTCGATGGGATTTCTGTATGCCAATGAAATCATAGTTCTGGACAATCACCTTCCATGAATGGAGATTTGGAGTGATGACCCTCTCCCCGCATGCTCGAGAGGACAGCAAGCTGGCGCAGTGGATAGTGTTAGACCTGAGTTCAAGTTCAAATCTGGTCTCAGATACTGTGTAACACTGGGCAAGTCATTTAGCCTCTGTCTGCCTCAGTTTCCTCTCTGTAAAATCAAGATAACAATAACACCTACCTCCCAGGGTTGTTGTGTGGATAAAAATGAGATAATACACTATGATTCTGGGCCTCTTTCCTCTTAGTTGATTATCTCCAACTTTTCCTGCATACAGCTTGTTTGTACACAGTTATGTACATTGTTTCCCCCTTTAGACTGTGAGGTCCTTGAGAGCAGGGACTGTCTTATACCTATCTTTGTATCTCTAGTGTTTAGCACAGGGCTGGAGATAGTAGGATGTGCCTGAGATCCCCAACCCTTCGAAGGTCCCCCAGCTGCATGGGTTCAGGGCATTTGCACTTGTTGATCCACCTCTCCCCTCCTCTTATTTCAAAGTTCTGCCCCTCTTCTGGCATTCCAGCTAGTCACTGAGCTAAAGGAACATATCTATCAGACCTCCCAGGTTATCTGGAAAGAGGAGTATCCTGCCAAGTGGCTTTGCTTCCTGCCTGCCTCACACCAACTATAGAAACTTTGTCACTTCCGGTCCTTTCCTCAACAGGGTCCGAAACTTTCTACAAAATATTCATCATGCCCCACAGGGATTCCGTTCTTCCACCAAAATCCCTCACAGTTCAGCCAAGAACAACCCTTCAAATTTCCCATAGCAAAGGCCACTAGAGTCAGGCCTGAAGAAAAGTTATTAGGTGAATTGAGTTACAGTGCAGGGTTTCAAACACCAAAGGACACAGCCCAAGAAAGGTAAAGGAGTCCATTCTCTACTCCCAGAAAATAGGTGGGTACAGATCTAGCTCCAGGATCAAAGACCCTAAGATCCCTTCCATAATCAGAACGTAAGGTTGGTGGTAGAGGGAGACAACAACAAATATTGTTGTGTTATGCCCGACTTTTCATGACTCCATTTGGGATTTTCTTGGAAAAGGTATTGGAGTGGTTTGCCATTTCCTTCTCCAGCTTATTTTACAGATGGTAGAAACTGATGCAAACAAGGTTAAATGACTTGCCCAGGGTCACACAGCTAGTAAGTGTCTGAGGCCAGATTTGAACTCAGAAAGATGGCCCAGTACTTGGATCTATCTCTACCCTGTGCTAAACACTAGAGATACAAAGAAAGGCATAAGACAGTCCCTGCTCTCAAGAGCTCACAATCTAGTGGAGGAGACAATGTGCATGCAATTGTGTATAAGCAAGCTGCATACTGTAAAAATTGGAGATAATCAACCAAGAGGAAAGCATTAAGGGAGATTCAGAAAGGCTTTACCCAGGACCTTTGATTCCAAATGCAGGGTTCTTTCCACTGCACCACACTGCCACCAGGGGGCAGTCAATTCCCCGAACTGCGGCTGTGTTAGAAATGTCCAACGTCCTCTATGAAGTACCCTGTGCAGTAGATAGGTGGCAGAGTGGACAGAATGTCTGACTTGGAAGCAGGAAGAACTCAGTTCAAATCCTGCCTTAGTCCCTTACTGGTATGACCTTGGGCAAGTCACTTAACCTCTGTTTTCCTGAATTTCCTCAACTGTAAAATGAGGACAATAGCTTCTACCTCCCATGGTCATGCAATTCAAATGACATAGTAATTGCCTGGCACAGAGTAAGTGCTATATAAATATTAGCGATGATGATGATGTATGGGGGACTTGCTGCCACCACAGCCACAATGCACCTCCCTAGATTACTCTCAACTCCAACATTATTCCACTGACTCACCTTGTACCCTCCCTTCCTCACCTGCCAAGTATAGGCCAATGTGAACCAAGTATACACCAATATCTATAGCCTTGTTTGATTACCTTATATGTCCTAACTGAGGTGCTGGTTCCAGCAGTCCAGGAACTTCCGGGAGAGTTGCAAGGGCACATCATATGCAATACTGTAAAGTGTTAACTTTTGGAGGCAGCTGCGAGGCTCAGTGGAGAGCTGGGCCTGCTGTTCAAATCCAGCCTCAGATACTCACTAGCTGTGTGACCCTGGTAAAGTCTTCTTCTTAACTTCTGTCTTAATCCACGGCAAATGAAACGGCAAACCACTCCAGTATCTTTGCCAAGAAAACCCCATGGACAGTATCGTCCATGGGGTCATGAGGAGTCGGACAAGACTGAACAGCAACAAAGCACTACCTCCACCTTCTTTCATATCTGCCTCCTGCCACAACCATTTTTCCCTATTAATCCATCAAATTGCATTTATTAAGCACCTATTACGTGCCAGGTACTGAGTTAGGCACTGGGGATGAAGACAAAAAGAAAACACATTGTGCTTTCAAGGAATATACGTTCTATCAAAGTAAACAAAATGTACATTATAATATAGACAAAATGTATACAAAGTAAATATAAGGTAATTTACCTTGTATTATTTCCCTATAATTCTGGCAATGGTCAAAAAAGAACAGGATAGGGCAGCTAGGTGGCGCAGTGCATAGAGCTCCAGCCTTGAAGTCAGGAGGACCTGAGTTCAAATCTGGCCTCAGACACTTGACACTTAACTAGCTGTGTGACCCTGGGCAAGTCATTTAACCAGTTTGCCTCAATCCACTGAAGAAGGAAATGGCAAACTACTCCAGTTATCTTTGCCAAGAAACAGTATGGTCCACAGGGTTACAGAGTTGGATATGAAAGAACAAACAATAATCCCCAGATCTGCGTTCAAATCCTCACTTAATTTCCACACACATTCCTCATCTGTAAAAAGAGCATCTCTAAACTCCCTTCCAGCTCTAAGACCATGTCTTTTGATCCTGAGTCCCATGATTTTTCCACTACACAAATTCCTGTTTTTGTTGTACCTGTATGCATGAGATTGAGTCGTGTTGCAGGACTGCTCAATGTTACCAAAATACAATTTTTAAAAGTCAAGTCTTGAGTTTAACTCTAAAGGTTATGGGGGGCCCTTCCCTAACTTTGGGGCATGACAATATACCCTAATTCTATAAGTGCTTAATACTTTTCAAATCCTACTGAACCTCACAATAAACCAGTAAGGGAGGGCTGGTAACATACTTCTCAAGATACTGAGGCCCAGAGAGATGACGTGACTTGTTCAGGTGACAAAGTCAGCACCGCTGCAGAACCAGCACTAGAATCAAAGTAGTGACTTGAGAGTCCAGAAACACCTGAGTTCCACTCCCACCTTTGACATTTAATTGCTCTGTGATCCTGGGCAAATTATCTCTGAGAGCCTCAGTGTCCTCATCCATAAAATGGGGACAGTAACAGGGTTGTCTGTGAGGCTCAAATGAGATAACAATATATGTGAAGCACTTTGTACATTTTAAAATGCTCTACAAATGCAGTTATTATTGTATAGAACAGCCTTATAGTATCATTACTAATAATCATAACCGCTCCCCATCCATAAAATAGTTTGAAGATCAAGGATTGGAGAATGAAGTCAGGAGGCAGTGTAAATTACGGCTCTCCCTGCCCCCCCCCCCAAGCCCCATCCTCCCCAAAGAGATATTTGAATTACTTCAAATGGAGGGGAAGGGACAAGAGTTCCTCCCCATCTCTTCCAAATTCCCATCTCCACACCCTCATCAGGCATGATGGATATGCCTGATATCCCATGGATATCCCAATGGCAGCCAATTGTAGGTGGTGATAGAAGGAATATGAAGCAACAAAAACAAGTATCCTATGGAGCTTCAAAAGGTGTAATACATTAAAATGGAAAACCAAGCCAATACATTCAATTACCTTTGGTAAGACCTAAACTCCTGGACACCGGAACTGAGCTGAAACTGCTTTAATCATCCTTTTTTAAATATACACACTGGAAAGAAAGATCCACAATTAAGTGATAGGTCACACATGAGAGAACTCAATTTCCTAGTGAGCTGTGGTTCTCTGAGCTTGTAAGAAATGCAGTAAACAATCCTTCAGAAGAGGGCTCCTTTAACTGCCCTGTCAAGACACCCAAATGATGCCTCTAAGCATGCTAGATGGCTTCAGGACAACAACCTTTGTTGCCTTCTGGCTCTGCAAATGCTCCCTGTTCTGAGGTTCTGTGCTTCCCATTCTCTCTCTGTGTTTCTCCACCCTCCCCGAGGCATCTCTCTCCCCCTCAAATACACACATAGTATATTTCATTCACGTCATGTAACCCTCATGTGACTGAGCTCTTCTAGACTGGCCAGTTACCATGGAGATGGTGTTACATGGATAACCCACCAGGCTGTCAGTCCATCTCTTGTTTCCAATCCTTTGCCTTATTATAAAAGAAACAAGGAATCACCAGTAGAAATGGAAGATCCCTTTAAGTCAGGGGTTTCTTAACCTGAGAATTGTGAAATTTAAAAACAAGTTTTTTATAACTATATTTCAATATAACTGGCTTCCTTTGTAATCCTGTATATTTTATGAATTTTAAAAATACTCTTCTAAGAAGGGGTCTATGGTCTTCACTAGACTGACAGAGGGATCCAGGACACAAAAAGGTTTAACCCCAGCTTTAAGAGAACATGTTCCTCTAGAAAGACTAATGGTCCCAGCGAAAGGATGGAAACAAGGTGATTTTCCCTTTGGGGAATCTTAGAACACTGAGAGTAAGATACGCAGGCACGGATGGGGTAGCTTTGGCTTTGTTGAAGTACCAACATTGATGGGGTGGGGGAGGCAAAAAGAGGAAGTTGTTGTTCAGTTGTTTCAGGTGTGTCCAACTCTTTGTGATCTCATTTGGAGTTTCTTGGTAAAGATATTGGAGTGGCTTGCCATTTCCTTCTCGGCTCATTTTACAAATGAGGAGATTGAGGCAAATAGGGTTAAGTGATGAGAGGATAAGTACCTACTATATGCCAAGCACTATGCTAAACATTATAGATATTAGCTCAATGAGCTATTAAAATACAGTTCCATAGCACTTTAAGGTTAAACAATCCTCAGAAGCATGGATAATTACTTTTATACCCACTTTACAGAATGGGGAAACTAAAACTAAGATTAAGTGAATAAAAACTAGTATTGACACCTAGATTCAAACTCAGCTTCCCCAACTCCAAATCCAGTGTTCTCTTAGGGTGGTATGGTGGGAAGAGTCCTGGATCTGGATTCAGAAGACCTGAGTTCAAATCTTATCTCTAATGCTTACCACCTGTTTGACTCTCCTTGAATAAGTCTTAATCTCCTAAGACTTCATTTTCTCCCCTCTTAGATAAGAACTAGATGGTCAAGTTGTCTTTCAGGTCTGTTCAGACCTCAAAAGCTCTCTTCAAAGTCTCCTCTACGTTGAAGACAAAGCTATGTCTTTATCTAGATAAATATATAGCATCCTAGGATAACACACAGTGTCACCCCTCCATGTCTAGAGAAAGACCTCTTCACTTGGGGTTCATAGAAGGTTTATGGATAGATTTCATGGGTCCATGAACTTGGATGGGGAAAAAAATTACATCTTTATTTTCACTAACCTCTAACTGAAATTTAGCATTTCTTTCAATTAAAAAACAAAACCAAAAACATTCTAACAAAGGTTCCTGTGTTTCCCTGGACTGCTAAAGGGTCCCAGGACACAAAAATAGTTAAGAACACTTGATTTAGACCAAATCACCCAGAATAACAGTAGCAGAAGCCAGATATCAGCTTTCTCTTAAGAAATGAGTACTTGAGTCAGGTTAAATGCTAGGTCCCTCCTTTCCCATAAGTGATATTGATCCAAGCTAAAGAAGTGTTGTCTCCAGAGAGGCTTTTCCCCCAAAAGGGGTGAATTCTTTACTTGGAGTAAAATAGCCAGTTTCCTGCTCAGTCAGGTGTCCTCCTAGGACCATGAATTCCTGCTCCAAGTTAGAAAAAGCCCTAATTCTTTAAAGAGCTGAAACCACACTTTTAATGCCTAGTTTGGAAAAGTGAAGTTTTGGACCTCTTTCTTAAACTTTGGCATACTTAACAATAAGAGATTACAGTTCCCTGAATCTCTATAGTGGTTAAAATTTTTCAAAGTTCTATCATATTGATCTTCCCAATGATCCAGTAAGGAAAGGCTGTTATCATTAGATTATAAGCTCCTTTAGGGGAAGGACTGCCTTTTGCCTCTTTTTTGTATCCCTGGTGCCAGTGCCTGGTACATAGTAGGTACTTAATAAATGTTTACTGATTACGAAGGATTAAGAGGAAACTGAGGGGAAGTGACTGTAAATTTCAAAGCTAGTCAGAGACAGAATGCAAATGCTAAAATCCAAGTCTCTTGATTCCTAGTTCACTAGTAGTCAGTGAGACAATTTAAGCCTGATATCCTCAGCCCCATTCAAAAAAGGAGTATGTTAAGCCTTGATTAAAGGTCTAGAGGCAGCTAGGTGGATCAGTGGATAGAATACTGGGTCTGGAGACAGGAAAAACCACTGTAGTATCTTTGCCAAGGAAATCTCATGGGCAGTACTCGCATGCTGGTCCATGGGGTCATGAAGTTAGATAAGAGACTGAACAACAATAACAAAAGTCCTTCATTCAATTAAGATTTGTTAATAGCTTACTATGTGCCAGGGGCTAGAGTCCGGGAGAGCACTTTTAAATCCCAGCTGAGACACTAGCTGTGTGACCTTGGACAAGTCACTTAATTTCTCTCAGTTCAGTTTCCTTATTTGTAAAATGCTCTCCAATGTCCTTGCCAGCTCTAAATCTATAATCCTAGGTGCTAGGTGCTGGATATACAAAATAGTCCCCCTAGTCAAGAAGGTTATACTCCAGAGTGTTCTTGTTGCCTCCTGAATTCCTTCAGGTTCTAGCAAAAGTCCTACTTTCTGTAAGAAGTCTTTCCCAGATCACACTTTGTGCTAGTGCCTTCCCTCTCAGATTATCTCCATTCTACCCTCTATATAGCATGCCTGCACATTGCTGTTTGCATATTGTCTCCCTCATTATTCTAAGCTCCAAGGGGTTGTCTTTTGCCTTCTTTGTATCCTCAGCACTTAGCACAATCCCTGGCATATATGATGGGTACTTAATAAATGCTTATTGATTTTACTTGGCTGAAATATTTAGTATCGAATAGTAAGCTACCCAAACCACCAACCCCAAATGCACCAGCTCTCCAGGGAAAGAACAAAGAGTTAAGATGGATCTCTCCTCCAGAGGGCCCCGTATTTTCATCTATCACATCAGTCCTGTGGTTTTAGTCTTTACTTGTCATTGTAGATAACAGTCAGCAAAAGACTTTAGGGCACAAATTCAGCTGGGCTGAATCACCGGGAGAATTCGTTACACCCTTTCCTACCATTCATTTCTTAGCTTCCTCACAACCAATTTATCTCAAACATGGGCAAAGCCTAACCTACTCAACTCCTAGATTTAGCACCAAAGAAATCCCTTTCGGTATGTAAATACAGTTGTGAGAGTGTCTCCATGAATATGCAAAACAGCCTCAAGCCTGTAAATAAAAGCAATCATTTAAATGCAAATGATATTCCAGACCATTTCATTCAGGGCTGGCTGGTTTCCCTAGGTTGTGATAGAGAAAATTCTACCAATTTTGAACGGCAGTTATGATAGTTCGGGGAGGGGATGTTAATTTGTTCTAAATAACTCGTAACATGGTATCTAGGTTCAGGTTTTCTATAAGATCCATGGAGCATGCTTTGGGAAGGGCAAGAATCAGTCAGGCTGGGGTGAGAGGTGCACAACCATTGGGGCTTAATATATCTTTGTCTGTACATCACCCATTAGTGCCAACCGAGCACCTCCTCAGATGATGGAGATTTAAGCCCATTAATTCTGCATCCAGACACCAAGCCAATTGGCACAGAGCGGTGAGGAGGCAGTGGGGCAAGTCTGAATAAAACCACCACCTACCTCTCCCAGTCCACTGCTATAGCTACTCAGGGTTGCTCTGAAGTATATCAGACTCCTGGGGAGCTTCAGGTCTTAACAGAAGCAGAAACAAGGGGACAAATTGCAGAAAATGTCGTCCTGTTATATAATAGTCTGCCATTGAATGGAAAATTCCTCACCATCTTTAGCATGTAGTTTCTGAAACACTCTTTAACATCTGTGCCTCAAAGTGCTGATACTTCTTTTTACTCTCTAAACTATCCCCTTACTTCCCCCTCTAAGTGCCATACTTCTTTACTTCTCTTCTGGCTGGGCATCCAGCACTCCATCTGGCTCTAGTATACAGTATCATCCCTTCTGACTTAAGCCCCAGGGCTATGAATAGAGAGGAAGAACAATTTGCACAGTGGTTCGAATACAAAATTGGTTAGGGACTGTTGACTCAATAATAAGACTCAAATTTGCATATCACTGCATACTATTTGCCTCGAGTCAAAATACAGACTCTCCCTCTAATTTTCCTACATCTCTCCTCCCCCCCCCATTTTAAAAAAATTTCCCTCTGACTCTTAGGTGCTACGGGTCAAGTTCAGGGGCCCATTGAACAGAGAGGAGGTTAACTGATTTGCTGTGGGTCACACATCTGAAGGGGGCCTTTCCTGGCTGCATACGAGGCCAACTCTATCCACTACTCCTTACAGCCTATCCAATAAACATTTGTGGAGGGTCTTTTTTTTAGAGACTGAGAACTCACATATATGGCTGTTTTCTCTCCTTATTTCTGTGTCCCTCTCAAGATAAACTAAGGAATAAATGCTGGGCCTGAATCGCTCCTTTCTCTACATTCCAAAGGACACTTAGTAAGATAGTTAAGTGTTATGGAAATAGCATGGAATTTGGAGTCCCAGGACGTGGGATCAAACCCTGGCACAGCTACTTAAGAGTCTTTGTGACCCTGGGTGTCATTTAACTTCTCAAGAGCTTCAGAGCTCCAAAATGAAGGCACTGGACTGACTAGAATATGATCTCTAAGATCATAAGCAGGAAAGCCAGCTCTTTCAAAATTTTATGGCTGATAGCCCCACTGTACTATGACCCGGTCAAAGGATATCTGGAATATTGTGCTCAGTGGCAGGAAGGCAAGTTTCCTCTTGGTTTCAGAGATGATCATCTCTAGGGATTCTCCCAGCCCCCCAGTATTGACCAGAGGCTGGATGCAAATAAAATCAAACAATATTTGTTGATCAATTTCTGTGCTTTTCCTTCTGACTTAGATAAGCTTTCCCAAGAAATGTAAGGAGATGGAATACATGGAGGAGTCAAAGAACCTGACCACCCTAGGGTCCATCCAAAGAGAATATCAGCTATATTGACAGGTTTTTTAGAACCATTTAAGGGAACTTTAAAGAGCTGGAGTGGGGAGGAGTGAAACCTCATTGGACTCTGGCCCACATATGTCTCTCCACCCCAAACCTGGGGAGCTGAACAGCGACGCAGAACTGAGTTGGCAGAGGATGGTGGGGGTCCTTGGGCTCAACAATTCTGCAAAAAAGCAGGGTTTTTTGAGAAGCTGAGGTTGGCCAGTACTCCCTCCCTCCCCCATAAAGGTCCCGACCTTCCCAATGCAGGCAAACATTTCCAGACACCGTATTCTTCAGCCAGATGTACTATTGTATTCAATGACCTTCTCTCCGTCTCTTCTCTACCCCCCCCTTTTTCTCTCCCCTACGTCCTTACTCTCCCCTCCTCCCCCATCTAGTAATCGTTCTCTTTAGTTATCTGGAGAGGCACACACACTTACACACAACCCAAAAAACAACAAAACACCAAAAAACTGAGAAGACAGCCACACATGTTTGAGTTCTAACCTTCTCCCCACACCTAACCCCAGGTCTTTCTGGGCTCGGAGCTCTGGCAACCCGCCGCCAGCCCCCAAGCCCGGACTGTAGGCTGCAGTCTCCTTACAAGCTCCTTCCTTAAAACTCTCCTCGACACATCCCCAAGGTGCTCTTCTGATCACGACAGTCCCTAAATCCTCCAGCTCGGCTTTTTCCCCTTTCTTTTCCAATTCTGCATTAGTCCGTCTCCAGCCCCGGTTTTCTGCTGTTCTACGGCCCCAGTTTCTCCGCTTCTCTCGGGTCCGCAGTGTCTCCCTTCTGGACGGTGCGGAGCACGTCCCGCAATAGCCTTCCTTCTGCAGGTGCGGGCCAGGCACTGGTTTTCAATGAAAGCCAGTGAATGCCTCCCCTCCTGTGAGCCAAGGATGGACTATCTGACTGCTTTCCTCCTAGAGCTTCAATGAACTGACCTCCGCTCCAATTCCTCTGCAGGAGCTCCCCCCGCCCCCACTTCATACCCAGACCCTCCCCCGCCTTTCCTGAGACAATCACCCCCAAGCCTGGCCCCGCTCCGCCCTCTGCGGCTCCTCTCCAGACGCTGCCTTACCGGGGCCTCCTCCCCGCTCCCCAATAATCCTTCCCGCACCCCTGGTTGGCTCACCCACTTCTTGAGGCGGCCCCTGGACGGCACAGGGAGATCAACACCCTTTGGGATGGGGGAGGCTGCACAGAGCTCTTCCCGCTGGAGAAAAGTTTCTCTGGGGCCTGGAGAGCCGCACCCCCCCTCCCCCCGCCATCATTCCTGTCCTCCCGCCTAGGCTGAACCCTTTCTCCGCAACCGCATCGCACTTACCCGCACCGGCAGCCCCACAGCCGGACGGATTCTCCAGCTTCTCCAGCAACCGCCACTGAAGTCACATTTCTGCAGAACTGTCTCCCCTTCCCCTCCCCTCCCCCCACCCCCTTAGTCCCGGCTCCTATTTCCCCAGATGCCCTCACTGCATGACCGCGCACGGCCCCCCTGCGCCCTATTGCCGCTACTGCTTACTCCGCCCGGACCCTCAGGCTCTGGCTCTGACTCTGACTACGGATATAGCTCCGTTCCAGCGGTGGTCCGGGATTTCGCCGTCAGCAGGGTCCCCCTCCCAGCACCCAGCCTACCCCCGATCCTCCCTCCCAGCTCAGCCCCGCGGGCGCCAAGCCCGGCTCGCTCACTGGCTTTCCCAAAGCCCCAGCTCCACCCCCACGGCCGCCCCTTCCCCCTCCAGCCAGTCCTTAGCCCCAGCGCGGTCTGCGTGTCCCCCGATGTCTAATGTAGCTGCATACTCCTTGACCCCCTCCCCCCAACATCCTCTCGCCGCCCCAACTGTGCACTCGGCCCGTGAACCGTCGTCCTCACAGACACCAACACACACAAAGGGTGTAGATGTAGATCTCACTGCTCACGGGCACACTCGGAGGACAACGACCCACAAGTACCCTTAGGCATTTCTCCCACTCCCCCCCTGCCCAAACCCCATAAACTCGCGCGTAGGGGCACATGGAGCACACACTTACGTGTGTAAATACACGTACCGTATGCGTTAGTGACTGAAAAAACAATCTGAATGAATTACACAAAGCACTGAATGCACATAGCTCAGACACGTGTCCACAGGATCTTAGATGTGGAATTGGAAAGGACCTTAGAGGCCAGGCCGGCTTGTAATACACTTCCCCTACCCACGATTTTACAAATGAGGAAAATGACTTGGCCAAAGTCACACAGGTAATAAACGTGGGGAAAGGATTTGAAACCAGGGCCCCTGCTCTATGCTCAAATACCCATCTGCACCTTGTGCTCTGTGTCAGGAGCCCAAAGGGAAAAGAGGTGTCAGGGAGCTTTGTCACCAGAATTATTTAGACTAGACTTCTATCTTTCTAACTATCCTGCATAGTTCATCTGTTTGAAGGCAAGGTGGATAGGTCAGGTGATCTTATGTAATCCTTTGTAGCTTCAGAATTCCAAGATTCTCTTGTCCTAAACCAATCCAATACTGTTGAAGGAAGGCTTTGGCCTCGGAGGAGAGAGCTCTGGGCAATGACTCGTTTTGATCAGTGGCCAGGGGGATGGGAGATGGGAGATCAAAGAAGATAATGTCTTTGGATCCAAAATTAATACCTTTTTCAAATCAGAAGCCAGCAATCAAACATTTTTTCTGAGCCTCTTCCTGCTACCCCCAATGCAAACTTTAAGAGTAAAAAAAAAAAGTATAATTCTTGGTTTCCCTTAACCACCCCAACTAGAGTTGTTTAAAGATGTTGGACAACCTACTGAATGAGGTGGAGATCTTCTTGTTCAATCAATCAATCAAAAAGCATTGATTAAGGCTTTATTGTGTTTCTGGTGCTGTGCTGAGTTTGTTGTAGGGGGCGAGGAAGGAAAGCTTAAAAGTAGCCGGTGCTCTCAAGAACCTTACATTCCTTTGGAGACATAGCATGTAAATAGTTAGATATTGACAGTCACAGTAGAGAGGTAGTCTCAAAAGGGAAAGGCATAAATACTTGAGGGGATTGGAAAAGGCCTCCTTCAGGGCTGGAGAACCTGGAATTTGGGATTCGCTTTTGTGGGAAAGTTGAGAAAGGGGGAGTCTTTAAAGAACATTCCTCAGTAGACCTCAGTTCCTTCATTTATGAAGTGAGGGATGTTGACTAGCTAGGTTACAAAGTTTCTTTCAGCTCTGTCTTTTAAGTACTTCGGTCTTCCAGTCACCTCTTGCTCCCATTCCTTTTCAGTGACTTCTTGGCTTTTGTTTGTATATCACTCTGCATACTATTTGTACCACTGTAAAGTAGTGAGAAATAGCATAGGATCATGTAGTTAGAGCTGAAAGGAACTTTAGGAGTTGTCAAATCCAGCCCTCTTATTTTTCAGCTAAGGGAACTGAGGCCTGGAAAGGGAGGAGTGACTGCTTAGCTGGTTAATGTTCTCTATCCCACTTTAAAGTTTATTCTTCTACACACACACATACACACACACACACACACACACACACACACACACACACACACACCCTTTCATCTACATTTATCCACTTACGCTTTCTTTTTTTAAAATAAGGTAAAAGATTCTTTGGGGAGAGAGTTTTCCATTGAACAATTTCCCTGAACTTGTTGGAATAGTAAATGGATAGATGGATAGACACCACCACCTCCTGGTGGACAGAGGGATTTGGTTCCTGAGATGGTTTCTAAAAGTCCCTTTTGCCAGGCAAATGGTATTGGGTGATATGATAATGCCTAAGGAATGGAAGGGCAGCTTGGTGGCACAGTGGATAAAGCAGCAGGCCTAGAGTCAGGAAGACTCATATTTGTTGAGTTCAAATCTGGCCTCAGATACTTGCTAGCTGTGTGACCCTAGGCAAATCACTTAACCCTGTGTCCCTTAGTTTCCTGTAAAATGAACTGGAGAAAGAAATGGCTAGGAGATTGAATGGATAAGGGAAACTTTCTCAGGGTCACGTGGCCAGCATGTGTGAGAAGGACTTAAACTCAGGTCTTCCTGGCTCCAAGGTCAGCTCTGTCTACTATACCAGGTTCTCTCTTAGCATATTATAATAATAGTTTGTATTTATAGCATTTTTACACATACAAGATGTTCTCGCATCAATGATTTGTTGTGCAGTAGTTTCAACCCCATCTGAGGTGTTCCCTTGCCCTAAGGTTAGGGCAAGGATATTGAATTGTCCTTCCCCTAGGCCCAAATTATAAGACTTAGCCAGGAAAGTGGCTCTTTTCTGAGAACTTTGGGATAAGAGGTCTGGTATATAATTGAAATTGATTGTGTATGAACCATTCTCCAAACAGCGTAGATTTAGTAATATTCATGGAGTAGGAAAATCTATATTTAAACCTCACTTATGTGATAAATAGACAAGTTGCTTAATATCTATGAGGCTCAGTTTTCTCATCTGTAATAATAGTACCTGAAGTAATTTCATCACAGAATTGTGTTGAGGCTTAGATGAGACAATGTTTGTAAAGCACTATTTAGATGTAACTTGTCATGTTATTATTATTACTGTTATCCCTATTTGTGGAAGTGGAAAAGAGATGTGGAGGAGGAAGCTAGCTCCTTGATGACTGAATGGACTAGTCTAAGTGAAAACTCATTGGACAGATCAGTAATGGATTTTTCTTCTGAGGGAGAACTCTGTAATGAGCTAGAATATTTCTGGGATATTTTTTTCTTTAGTTTTCTATGAAGTAGGAGGACACAAGTGTGTTCCTGATACATACTAGGTTGCAGGGAGCCTGCAAGTCTCATTTTAGGAGCCTTTTTCTTGTAAGTATTTTTTCTTGTAAGTTTGCTTGCTGTATGTGTGTGAGAGGAGGGAGGGAAGAGGAGGAGAGGAAGAGAAGACAAAGAGAAGGGAAAAGAAGAGGGAGGGTATAAATCTGGGTCTCTTAGTCTCCTGTAACCAGTGCCTGGAGAGAGTATCAACTACCAAAAAAAGGCAACAAGTATTTGCTAAGTGCTGGGAATGGAAAAAAAAAAAAAGGCAACAACCAAACCAGACCAAACCCACCACTGAGAAATCCCTTCAGTTCTGGGGATAGATAGTTGATCTAGAGAGGTGGCTGTTTGGGTAGTGTTTGCCCCTTTGTGGACGGAGATCTGTAGGTATCTCAAAGGCAGGGGACATTTTTGCAATGTCCTTTGTATCATGCCTCCCAGAGTTTAGTTCCATGTACTTTATAAAGTAGGTGCTAGATCCAGTAGGATCCAGTGTGCCCATCACTGGGTTGATTGCTACTTTAGGGCTATTAACTTTTAGTGTTTTCAACCTTGGAGTTTTCCAAGGTGGCCGGTATAGAAGGAAAAAAAATGGGACCATTTTTACTGTAAACCTTGTTCTGAAACAAGCCATCTTATTGACTTGGAGGATTCTCATACTGAACCCTGGTGAGAGCAAAGAATGCTTCCAAAATAACCCACTTTGAGTCAAGAGAAAATAGTTTTGCAAGGGGAATGGGAGATCTAAACATTGATTACAGGAAAGACTAAAAGGCAGGCTAAGGAAATAATGAAAGCTATTGATGTAACAATAGCAAAAATGAATGCCAGATAGGAAGAAACATGTTTTAGCCACATTTCTTAATGTGCTGAGGGCTGGGGAGTGCATAGAGAAGAGGCCTGGGGAGAGGGGAGGAGAATAAAATGATAAAATTTTTCTGAGGTATTAACATTTTGAAATGAGATGAAAATGATTCTGAGACATGAATAGCTCTAAGCCAGAGACATCATTAAGACTGATACAGAAAGGAAATTATAGAAGATCAAATCTGAGGACAAAAATCAAGTTTGTTGACCCCTCCACTTTTCATTCTGCCTTTTTCTCAACAACATTTGATGATTCAGAACAGAATTTTGTGGGATACAAAAGCAGTTGTGGAATTGGATGAAGTGGATCAGAGAAAAAAGAAAAAAGGGGGGGAAGTTGAGGAAATAAAAGCCGATTGGTTCACCAGCTCTCCCATCAGGTCATCTCCCCATTCCTCTGGCAGGAAAGAATTGGAATAAATGGGGGGAAATATGCCTGCTTCCTTCTCTCTGTAAGCCTTGACCCAGTAATTCTTTTGGCCCTAGATGTCGAGGACAGGGATGCTTTGTCCAGTAGGTCAATCACATACCCACAATGCTAGGTCACTGGATGGAAGATTGTGTGAAGTGGGATTGCTAAGGCCCACCAAGGCATTGTTGCTGTCTTCCTTTTCTCCCATCTCCAAGTCTTCTCCAGTCAGCATAGGCTAACTCTTCCTGGCAATTGATGCTCTGGAAATCCTCTGTAGTGAGATATGATGGAAAGAATGATAGAATTCACAGTGACTGAATGTGGCATGGGGAGAAGAGGAAGCCCCCAAAACCAACCCAAGAAATCCACCT